CTGATCAACTCATTGAGTAAGAGTGAAAAAATAATTATATTTCAATATAAAATTGATAAATTTAGACGCTTTTCGTGGTCTAACCTTAAAGATTTAGTATTTTATAACACTTAAAATCAATAGTGTATCAATATTGTGGCCGACGGTTTATTACAACTAATAGCAAACAGTCGTCTCAATTATCACCAAGTAATAAAACTATGACTCATTCACAGCCATACATAGAGTGAATATATAATTGCAAGTAATGAAAAAAGAAATAATTCTATTTTTTAACGGTGAGAAATTTAGTTTTGATGGTGTCATGTTTAGTACTTCATACTAGTTATAAAGGAAAAGGTGGCAAGAACTAATAAAAATTAATAATCTACCTATTATAGTGTTTAATTATGTCCTTAATTACAATTTGATCATCTTTATCACCAGATTCAGAGTTTCAATTAAATTAAGTAATAAATTAAAGTCACCCGATTTTTGCGCTTTGTGTCTAAACCTTGTGCTAGCTAGTAGCTACCACATGAACTCGCATTATTTGTCTATTGTTGTGGAAAAAGGTGTGCACAAATGTAGATGAAAGAGACAGCCAAGTAGCCAAAAAACGATACTTGGTACTGAATTTCATGATATTATCATACGGGCTATTGTTTGTGATATTATTTCGTTATATTTAAGTATACAAGTATATTTGTATGTGAAAAAAAAAATAGATGTAAACATCGATGTCAAACAAACAATCAAGAAAGGAAAATTGTCGTGTATTAAAGTACTTTATAGATATACATTTTTTTTTAAAAAATAAATAAATTAAATGGGTATTCTACATTAAAATACATTCTTATTTTAACTTTCAATAAGTCTAAAATTGGGTCTATAATCACTTATTAACATCATTTCACTCTACTTTTTCCACTATCCTTAATCACGGGATAATTTGTAATACATACATACATACATACATACCAATCGAGAGATCGATTCTCGTGTATTTAGAGGATAGAACACTTGAGGTCATACTTTTGAAATAATTATAAGAGTTGTTATATCATTTAAATTAAGCTAACGTAATGTTGTATTATTCTCTCCTAAGCATTTTCTCTTCGTAATCAGATAACTTATTTAACTAATACTTGGTGTGAGGATTATTTGCTTAGCATTTATATTAGCCCCGCGTGACGTAACGTGGGTACTGTGTAGCGTACATGTATATGCAACTTTATTGGCGGCTTTCTAGGCTTCATAATTCATATAAAAATGTACATAAACGTGAAGTACTTCTGTACTTGTACGGTTACCCATAAAATTAAAATTTGATGAAACGAAAGACTTGAAAAAATTGAAAGAACCAATGTTTGGCACATGCAGCTAATTACTGCTTTGAGGAATTAAGCTGTTCATACTTCCTTTATTATTCGTATCCATTAGGAAATTGTTAACTTCCCTTTATATTCACTGTGAAATCTGTTGTTACATTTGCAATTTAGATGATAATGCATTGGATTACTGTATAAGGGTACGGTAGATCTTCTATATTGTTAAGTTCTCGTTGTCTATCGCGAGTGTTAAGTGTGTTTGTTGTATGAATTATGAAGTCCCAATGTCTTTGTCTTAGTACTAGTGATGCTGGTGTTCTAGGGAGTACAATGTCACCCATGAAAATGTCAATAGCTAAAGCATAAGTGTTCGTTTAAACTAGTTTTTGTAACAACTAGTGCCCCAAAAGCGTTAAAAACTACCAATTACATTCGGGAAACATTGGATTATACAATAAATAAGCCAAGTTAGAGGGTATTTTGCAAGGTCATGAGCTAGTGATTAATTAATCAATACTGTTAGTTTCTTGAACCTCTTGCGTAATAGGCTTATTTCCCCTGAAAAGATTTACTCATATTTGGTCATTTGTGTAATCAGCTTGTTGCAGAGTTTGTGGGAACTTTCATCCTAATCTTCGCGGCAACAGCTGGTCCCATTGTAAACGAGAAGTACAATGGTGCAGAGTCATTGATAGGAAATGCTGCTTGCGCCGGACTAGCAGTCATGATCATAATTCTATCAACAGGCCACATATCAGGAGCTCACTTGAACCCGTCTCTCACCATCGCCTTTGCAGCTCTTCGCCATTTCCCATGGGTCCAGGTTCCAGCCTATATTGCTGCTCAAGTTGCTGCTTCAATCCTGGCTTCTCTCGCTCTCAAGGGTGTCTTTCATCCTTTCATGTCAGGTGGAGTTACAGTTCCTTCAGTGGGTGCTGGACAAGCATTTGCCCTGGAATTCCTGATTACCTTCAACCTCATGTTTGTTGTCACTGCTGTTGCTACTGACACTCGAGCGGTAAGTTATTATCATAAACAGTTATACAAGTATTAATTTGTTTTGCAGATAGAACCAAAAGTAATTGTTACTTTGTTAGAGTTTCATATACTGTTGCATATAGGAATGTAACTATGCAAGGCTTCATTTGCTTTCCCTCACAAAATCTTTGTCTGAACTTATCTTGTTAGCTATACTTATTTAACTTATTGGAGTTTATCGGAACTTATATGAACTTATTTTAGCTGTAGCTTGAACGTTAGTAGCCCAACTGCGAGATTGGAAATTAGTGTAACTTGTACGAAACATATCTCCTCAGGGTGAAAAGAACAAAGCAAAAATTTCATCAATGTGTAACTACATATGTATATATATAAATGATCTGACACCCTGCTATAGTAATAGACTTCTTTCTGAAGCTAAGTAGACCATGATATAGTCAAAATAGATACATCATCTAGGTATATTTTGCCACATGAGTTCTAATGTAAGGAAATCTTCTAATGAATCGTGGTTTACGTTGCAACAGGTTGGGGAACTAGCTGGTATTGCAGTTGGAGCCACAGTTATGCTGAACATTCTTGTAGCAGGGTAAGTCTTTTAGGCATTTTCTTAACAACTATTAATTCTCTTTCACAATTGATTTGATTGGTCAATTGGTGCAAGTAGCGCGCAGGAAAGCTACATGATTTTTGTGCAACTAAGAAACAGATTTTCTAACAGAACAGTTTAAGGACTATGCGAATTATTGAACATAAGCTTTTCTTTGAAACAAGAGTGAAGAGTAAATTACTGAAATTGAGTATAAATTCTGTTTAATGGTGCAGTCCATCAAGTGGTGCATCGATGAATCCTGTGAGGACTCTTGGCCCGGCTGTTGCAGCAGGAAACTATAAAGAAGTGTGGATATACTTGGTAGCCCCGACTCTTGGAGCTCTTGGAGGCGCAGCAATCTACAAGCTAGTGCAGCTTCAGGAGCACGAGGTTGAGCCAGCACGCCCTATCAGAAGCTTCCGTCGCTAGATGAACTGTGAATTATTGTGCACCTCTACGGCCTGGTCTCCTGCCGTGTTAATACTACCCCAAAGGAACATTTGTAAAGAATAAGGCGCTGACTATTTGTGCCATGAAACTTTGAAGCATTATAAATGGACTAAGGATGACAAACACTTGCTATGTCTTACTTGGTGCTTTGGCCTTCTACATTTCTTAAGGCCTTTTATTTTCTCTTATGTGCATGTGTGAAAAATGTGGTGTGGGTTGATTTGTAATTGTATGACAGTGTTTGTAATTGCAATGTGTTGCACATTTATAACATAAAATGGTAATATGAACTTTTATACGTGTATACTATTTATTGTAATTCTCTTTTAAGTTCGGTTAATTGTCTAACAGTTAAGCAACTAACATGGGGGGAAAGGTATAAATTGTTCCTTTTACTATACGGCCCAAAATTTTCAGTCCCACCATAGCATGCAGCTAAGCTGGATTCCAAACATAACAACACCACTCTTCAGTGAATATACATACACACTTTCTACAAGAATCAAAAGTCTTTCACATACTTTTGGAAAATCTCCTTTTGTTTGACTGTCTAAATCTAGAAAAGGATAAAGTAGGGCAAAGGAGAATATATACCATTAGGCGCATAACCAAATTGAGCCACAAATGGAAGACAATATTTTCCACGAGTGATGAGTACAAACTCAGAGAAAGTAGTTTAAAGTAAGTAAATGATGGTAAGTGCTACTTTGTTGTCTGATTGATGACAAATTAAATAAGTGTAACAGTAAATAAGTAATAAGTCCACGATTTGTAAGGTTTAAAGTCAACTAAAGTTTTGTTCTTTTTCATTTGAGGATGATAAATGGGCCCATTTTGCCTTGTTGGTTGGTAGAATATGGTGACCATGATAGGTTGGTTTGGTTTCAAGTTGTTTTCATTGTTCATACATCTGATTTTGGTGTTCATTGTTCTACCATAGTACAAAGTCACTTTAATTTCTAATCAGGTAATGGTTGGTAAAGTGGTCATAGTGTAGAGAACCTTAAGAGGATAATTACATTTAACTCGGCCTTACGGAGATTGTATATGGAGATAATACGATCTTACAGAAATTGTTTATGGACATGTAGAATCCTCACATTGGATCGTTTACTAGGATAATTCACACATGAATCCATGGCCTAAGCATGTTCGGAGTTACTTTGGCCGATCACCCATAGGATGGGAGTGGTAAAACACGCTGAAAGGTCCAGCATGTCATTTCGGCCATGTCGTGTCCAGGCCATGCTTAGGTTGTATATGTCATAGGAGCTAATCAGACTCTCAATTCCATACCTCAACTTTCTTTCACTATTAACACTATCCTGGTCGTGATAAAAGCACCATATCTTAGTTTTTGTCAACAGCTACGAATCTAGCCTTTGGCTAATCAACAAGCTAGTTTTAGCAGATTCAACTAATCAAACCAAAATACTGATATCATTTGTCTGGTTGTTATTTGTTGATCTAGTCAAATCACATGAAAATCAATCACTGATTTCAATCAATCTTGTTTCATGACCTGTTAAATCTAGCCATGCTCAATCTTTGTCTTACTGATAAATAATGACACATGAGATACCAGACAAATCAATCTCATATCTAATGATAAAAACAAATTTCATTATTTCATGTCTTAAAATATAAAATTAATAAAGAACACATTAATTTCATTTCCAAACTAAATAAATAGATAAAATCACAACATTTACAAAAGTGGAGGCTACCACTTTCTGTTCTGTACTTCCTAATACTACCCCCTCTAATAATCTCCTTTTCCTTTTGTACAAAAACCATAATTTACTCAAAGAACAAGATAACAGGATGATTTCTCCTACCAAGAACCAAAAAAATAATTTAGTACTATCGACGAATAAGTAGATTGTCAATTAAACATATCACTTTACCAATTCTCTAGATATTAAGTAGCGGAAGGTGAAATTGTGAGGCATCCATTCGATGATGCTCTTGCGAGATTTTCCAGATTGACACTTCTTAAGACTCTTCTTTAGTGGATCAGGGAGTGATTGTTGGATCATTTCAACGATACCGGCTGAGCATAAACCAGTGTCCTTGGCATATGCCTCGACTACCTTTGGCAGGACGACCTTTTGGTCCTTGCGTACACCAAAGGTGGCACGAATGTACTCATCTTTAGCAGATTCGAGATCTTGCAAAACTCTTTTCGGGGTATATACACGAAGCTGTAAATTACAAAACAAGAAAAAACAGGTAAATCTTTTCAGATATATAACTCATAAATTGGTTACATGGAACATAAAGAATGAGTGCTGCAGTAAATGAAAAAATGGTTTGAGAAAAGTAATGTACCGCAGGATCAGAGTGGCTTCCCGAACAAAGTGAAAAGTGTAGTAGGGGTTCTGGATGCTCGATTGCATAGGCCTGGCGGGCATCTCCTGTTTTGAATTTTGTCCTAGGGGAAAGCAGCATGCGTAGCCACTGGAAAATCACGAAAAATAGAAAAAGAAATTGAATACTCTACTAGAATTGCATAGATAAAATCTAGTCTAAACTACAATCTGATTGTCACAAAGATAGTTCATGCTGAGGCTGACACTGGAACAATAGGGGTGTAAAATACAAGAAACGATAAACTGATAAACACGCTTGAAAAAAATGTATTCGTGGTACAGAATTCCCAACCAATATACTACCCAAAAAACCTTTCCTCTTTCCTGCAACTAGAAAAGAAGAATCCTCTGAAAGATTTTGGCCGGGAAGTCAATGGCAGGGTCGACCTATGATACTTGGACATGCAGACAAGTATCAGTGATTTTCCAACACCACTTTCAGTTTTTAAGTCTAGTTTAATTGTCGTATGATTTGTATAAGTGCTAGTTGTAAGGAAACGAAAAATGCATTCAGGCAGCGCATTCCATTACAGAATCAGAGCCCATTAATAGAGAATCTACTTGCAGAATACAAACAATTGTTGAAGAAATTAAAAAATTAAAATACTGTGCTCAGGTGTGAAAATATTTTAGCTGAAAACTTTGGGAAACTTGTGGCTATAACTTGCTATGGGAACAAATAAGGTCCCTGCATTCAAGTTTTAGTCTAAAAGAAGTTGCCTGCATAACCCTTATTTTCCATAGGAGCAAAGATTTAGAGGATGCAAAACTAATCGCACTCATCATCACTTAGTTCAACTATTTAATGACAGCTCAAAATATGAGATTTCAGCCATCTTTATACACGAACAAAAAGCCAATCTAGGAACGAACCTGCCCTGGACGAGACATCCTACACCCCAGGATAGAGCTCTGAATGGTGTCAGCACTTATAGTATGACCCCCAACATTGTAAGCAGCCTGCATATAGGCAAAATAAATTAATACAGCAAAAAGTTACAGCTTCTCCATCCAAAAGAATTCTATTCACCGTCTTTTACCTTCAAGAGTAAGAAGACTCTCTTCACATTATTCTGTGGAATGCCATACGCTAGAAATGCCTACATGCACAGAGCTCACAATGTCATACAGTGTACAAAGGTCAATGTTAATAAAACTAAATAATCAAGTGTACTGGAAAGTGTGATCATTACATGCATCACCAAAGCATTGTGAACATTAATCCAAAATGCAACTTTCTCCTCATGTTTCAACTGCTTCGGATCTACTTCTTGTAATTGGCAAATGAGTGACCTTAAATAAGAAAGATAAACATAATCAAGTTTGAAAAATATGTGTTGTAAAGTTCAATTCTTTATATATTCCCCTGTTTCCCCATCTTTGCAATGGGTAGCATATCATGGAAGCCTTACCTGAAATTCTGTAACATATGTTCCACTTCTCCCAATTTCTGGCTCTCTCTATACATACATGGGACTTCGACCATAGTGCTATAAGGACCACTAAACTCCTTAAGCCCGTCCACATTGAATGGATTATCCAGATGCGCATCAAAAGATGAATCTTTCCCATAACCTGGACTCCATGCATCACATTGATATTGAGGAGAAAATGCACCCATCGAGGATGACGAGGAATTGGGTGATGAGAGACCATTGTTTGCTGCAGGTGACTCTCCCAACTTGCAAAATATGGCTGCCATACACTTCACCATATCTTCTGAAATTCTGTTAGGAGTCTCTGGAACATGGTCTGAGATACGTGTGCCAAGATGCTCTGCAAGGCTGATGACATTTGAGGCTACAAACTGCGCAAAGAAACATATGATAATGTTATGCACAAATAAGTACTACTCCTATTACGGATCAGGTTTCATTAAATAATTCAATTCATGTAATTCAGAGAACAGCAAAGCAAAATGCCGCAAGTAATAAGTTCACCAACTTCATAGAAATTCAGCTTATATTCTACTGGGAAGTACATTCTGATTGACAGTCATAAGGCAGAAAGAGCTACCTCAGACATGGACAATGGCTGAGAATGACATGCACGCAAAGCTTTAGCTACAGAGTCCGGAGAAGGCCTAGTAGGGTGTGCTGTACGATGTGATAAAGAGGAGTGGCAGCGATGAGCATTAGAGTCGAGTATCTTGCTTTCACCGGTTTCTTTGAATGTGTTAGAAAGCGTCCTAGGAACTGGTTGAAATGTTGATTCTTCAACCTTTGTTGCAGTTTCAGCTGCATCTTCATCTACAAAAAGTCGACGTGGAATAACTGGGGGAGACTTGAGTCTTTGATCCTTGACAGTTGGAGATGTAGTGGATATTTTCTGATTCTTTATAGTCGGAGAAATTGACGACGCTTGGTGATCCTTAGCATTTGGAGATACGGTAGACACCTGCTGATCAAAAGCTTTTCTGTACAGTGACAGAAGGTACTGCTCCAGATACCCAACTTCCAACTCGAGCACTGCAATTTCCTTTATCAAATCTGTTGCAGGCTGAAACCAAGTAATAGGCATAAACAAAGTGAAGAAATATTAGAAAAAACTAACAAACTTAAGTACTTGAAGAGAATTTTCTTAGGATTATTATATAGTACCTACCTTTGGGACTGTAGAAGGTTCATTTTTCTCATAAGAAGACGTTCCAGAACCTAATGCATTTTCCAAAACACGCCGAACAGCAAATTGGTCCTGCAACCTTTTTTCGAGTTGAAGAATCTACAAACAATGCCAAGACAGAAAATCAGTACAGAGGAACAATTGAAGAAAAGGAGCCACAATGCAGAAAGTTTAAGCACAGAGTTCACTTCTAACCTCTTGCTTCAGTGAATGAGTTTCAACTCTTGGAGATTGCTGTTTCTTAGCCTTAATAGAGCCTTTAAGTCGTCCTACGTCCTGTTAACCAATCAAATTAAAGCATCAGAATCAAATTAGAAGTGGTACAACAAGAACCCAACACCCATTGAAGTAAATTAATCCTCTAACCATTTATTGAGTTTATCTGGCAGCTATTTCTGAAGAAAAATAGGGAAATTCACAATTTGCAAGCTCGAAAAAAGAAATCACCACTTTATACAAGCATTGGTAGTATGATACATCAAAAGATAACCATATCCAAAGTTACTTAAAAGAAATAATAACATGAAAAAAGGCATAAAGTGCACATCATTATCATCATAATCCATGAAAATGGAATCTAATAAGATTCATGAAAGTTTATAGTCAAACAAACAGTATATAATAAACCAAACAAAAGCATTATATACCAAGCTTCTTTATTTATTTTTCATAAAGAAATTATGGAAAGGATCAAAAAATCAAACTGGAAAGAAGAGAAACTAAAGAAAGAAAAAAAGGTAAGCTTACCAACTTTAGACGAGGAGACTCTTCAAGGGAATCACCATTCTCAACTCTTCTTTTATCCGGAAAGCTGACAATTAGAAAGCACATTAACTTCAATTTAATTCCAGATGATTAAACTCTTTTAGAATCAACAATTTCACCCATTCATAAACACAATATACAAAATATTCTCTCCTCAATTTCTTGAATTCCTTTTTCAAAGCAAAAAAATAATAAAAAAGCAAAAGATTACTACTTTACAATACCCTTTATAATTTAATGAAACACCCTTTTAAATTATTGTAAAAGAGTTCAAAAATGGTGATAAAATAATTAAGCAAGAATCATCAGAGTAAATATCCACAATTAGTGAGCTCAACCTGCTTTTCCAGCATCTCATTTTCCTAAATTTGGTTCTAAATAAACAAAATCTCATTTTTGGTACTGAATTTTTTTTAGGATTGCTAAAAATGAAAATCTAAGCAATTAAATGGGGACCAAAGGGGGTAGTAGCAGACTAACAGTGGCAAATTAATTAGGGCATATTGTAGATAGTGAAACTAAATGGGGTCATGAAAGACAAGTACTTGAATTTAATGAGTATTCTTCCATTCTCATATTGTCTGTCTTAATTCCTTTCACTAATTTCAGTGTCATTAGTCACTTGTAGCAACACCCACTTCAACAACTCATTACTAACCCACAATAACAACAATGCCAAAGCCTTAGTCCCAATAAGGCGAGGTCGGGTTGGGTCGGGTCGGCTGCATGAACCAAGAATTTATCTCCGAATAGTTGTCCACAAACACAAATATACTTTCCCTCCATTACCTTTTATGAAGTGTCACTAACCCACAAAAAAAAGTTAGACAAATTAAAGACTTCAAACCTAAATATTGCAAACCCATGAACCCAAAATCTAGAATAAATATACTGCAAAATTGAAGATTTTAGCTTACCTTTTTGAACGTTTGTGTCTTGAAATCATTCTGAGTGCCAACATTTGCCCATCTCCAATATCTTCCAAACCCATCTCTGAAAAATAAAATTAAATTAAATTAAAATTAACGAAAAAAACAAAATAGTGCTAATGAAAAAAATGGGATTTTGAGTAATAATAATGGTCAAACAAAACATTGGAAAAATCAGAAATAGTAAACCAAGTTACCAACCTAAGTCTGAAAAATCAGAAATGAGTATGAACCAAACAGTAGAACCTCAACCCAGAAGCAAAAACGGGTCAAAACCCGGGTTCTCAAAAAACCCACCAAAATCAAGCTCTTATAACTCTCAAAAACATTCAATTTGCTGTTTTCATTGAATTTACAGCAAAATCAAACACCATTAGAAGCAAATCATGTGAAAAAAATCAGAGAATGCAGAAAAAGAGAGTGAGGGTGTAATAATGAGTAAATACAGGTGCCACTAAACAAAGATTATCCCTTTTGACCAAGGATTTTATTTCTCTAATATAGTGTCTTTCTCTTCTCCTCTTCTCAAATGAATGGAGAGAGTTTACCAAATCTCTTGTAAACTTTTTGCAAATACTGCCCTTTTTGCATCAAAAGATGGTGAGCAGTTTTTATTTTTTTTATTATTGTTTAAGTACAATAATCTATGTTACTATTACCATTGGTTAAAATGTCAAAGGATCAAAAAGGCATCAGTTTTACTTAATTGGAATTTGGAAAGGAGGAAGGAAAAAAAAAGTGTAGTAGATGACAAATAAGAAAGAAAATTAGCACTTGGCAATGAATTTCTGTTTAGTTAAATACAAATGGGTTTTTATGTACGCAATCCTAGCTATTAAGTGTATGCTATAAGTTTGACAGGTTTTTTATATACAATCGGTTGAATCAAGTGCATGATACATATAGTGACGTAGTATGAGGCTATTTTTTTGCTTCCTCGGTATGTGCTTGTACCTTGTGAATAAATAAGCAAAAAAATAGGGAATTGATTGTACAATATGAGATACAGAGTACAATTGGTTGTAATATAGTGAAAACCCACAAACAGTTCATGGAATAATATGGCACTTTGACTAGTATATTTTTTTTAGTACGTATATAATTGGGTAAATAATTACGGAGTAACATTAATAGCGGTTTTACCATATGCAGGATGTTGGGTCTAGCAAACCTAAAGTTAGAATAATTATGCAATATTATGTTATAGATTAGGTAAGTTAAATAAAATTAAGGAAAAGGATTAATATGACAACAATGCAAATAGCCCACATTCTATTCCTTGTTGGGAAGCAAGTGGGAGTTGGTGACCGTCCCTCACCTCTCTGTCTTTTCCTATTAGCATGGTTTCTTGCATTTGTATTGGCTTTGTAAGATGCTACTATTTCAGGGACTTGGACCCTTATTCTTGCCTATGTCCTGCCACCTCACTTACCTAGCTAACCTAGTACTTTTGTGTTTATGGTCACTAATTGTAAAACAGATTAAAGGGCCAAATTTTTCTTTTTGTGATAGGATTTTAGTTCATAATTTTTGGAATAAAGCTTAATTGTAGAAACTAGTGTAGTAGTTGAAAGAATTCGTTGTCATATAGGTTTATACATGTACGACATTGAGGTCTATATAATTAATCTAAAACATAATTTATTATGTTAACGTAATCAAGTGAATTCATATTCATAATCAAGTGTTATTTAAAACTTATGATTATGATCAAAACTTATTTAATAGTTTTTGCGTATTTTGTGAACATGTAAATATGTAATTATTGGCAATTAGTGATGCAACTTGTTGCTGTGGTTGGAAGTAAAAATTATGGAGTACATTAGATCTCTTTGATATACAATCAAGACACTCAAAACCTTAACTCATGCAAGTAAACAATATTTTGTTAATCGAATAACCCTGAAATCATAATTTACACACAATACATGATAAATGATATAATTCCATGTACATGTAAGAGTGTAAGACACGTTGTAAGACTTGTAACTTATTTTGTTAGTCACAAACACACAACTTATAAATTAAAAGAATTGAAAGAGATGAAAAATACTATAATTGGGTGATTTAATTAACCCAATCATTACAATTTATATACAATTTGTTGAAAACTAAGGGGAAAGTGAATCACCTTTATAAATTTAATAGTAGTAAAAGGACATGCACTAAGAAGATGTAAATATGCTTATTTAATGAATTAATTAGAACTAGTGACTCATCTTTTATATTTGGGTGAAAATATTTCCAAGTATTATTCAATGTGAATTATTTGATGATGAAGAGTCCAACGTGACAGCTTCAATGGGTCATTTTTCTAAACTAAATTAGTACAAAGCAAGCCAACAGTGGCATTAGTTAAGTTAGGATAACACTTCTGTCGTTGACTTTAGTTGCTTTCTTTAACCTGAATTGTCAAAGAGTCAAATCAATTAGGAAATCTATAGTAGTCTTTGTCGCTCAACTTACTTCATCTAATCAGTTGAATTACAGGCCAGTAATTCAGTATTAGTGGAACTACTGTATAATCTCTATATAACTTTAATTAGTATTTGTACGGTTGTACCTAATTACATACTCCCTTGGTTTCTCAAAATTTGTGTTAGTTTGACTTTTTAGTTGTCAACACATACTATTAATCATTAATAACCCTTCATTGTAGTCAACTAATCAGCCCAAGTCAAGCAAGTGCATATACTCTCTCTTTAAGGGTAATGCTATATGTAGCTCTTATTAAATACACTCTTGAAAGTTGTATAAAATTAGAAATTCAAGATTAAAAACACGCGCAAATAAGTGTAATTAGTGTTTATTTTTCTATGATTTCCTAAATTTATACGATTTTCTAGTATAAATTCAATGCTTATATGTAGCCCTAAGGGCTATTTATAGCATTTTTCTTTTTTAAATGCAGTTTGACCGGCACATTTGCCAAGTCGTAACTTTGGCCATTAATATCTTTAATTGTCTATTAGTAAAAAAATTGTAACAAAATTATATTATTAAAATAGACATTGTGATGAATTTAATGATATATTATATAATAACATTTATTTATTTTATAATAGCAAAAAAATTAAGTCAAACATAATATGTAAATAGTACAAAAGTCAAACTAATGCATTTAAAAAAAAACGGAGAGAGTATTAGAAAAGAAAGTGGCTAAGTATTATGTCACGGATTAATGGTTTAAATTGCACTGTTGATCAAATATACTTCGTAGTTTGAATAGAGATAGGAAGTATGTGTATACTTAGTACCTTCATCCGGATTTGGGATTATATCATTGTTTACGAAGTATTTGTTGAAGACCAAGTGAACCTATTTTAAGCTATTACTACTCCATTATTCCATACGTTGGCAACATTAATAATTTAAGGGGTAAAAAAAAGGATCTTCTCTAATTCTAATGAAAATATGTTTTTAACTTTGAGAGTGAGGGATAATCCAAGTGGTTAGAGCTTTCCTCCCGTTTTCAAGAGATCCTGAAATCGATTCTACCCTTGTGGCTCTCTAAACACTAAAAAAAAATTATGTTTTTAACTTCGGTAGATTTAGGTGAATAATGAATAGGATAGGAATCTTTATTAATGTATGAGTTTAAATAATTAAAATTTAGATTTTCAATATTAGCTTCTTTTATTTCGTGTTATTTATTCGTTTTTCACTTTCAGTTTATTTATTCTAAAACATACGGAGTATGTTGTGTTCCTCGTTAGTTATTGCGCATTAAGAAACCAAATTATATAGTTCGTTGCTGACAAATAAAAAAATGGAACTTCATCCAATCCATTTTAGTTAACTTCTAGTTAGACACATACAGCAATTACATCACAATTGTATTTGTACATTCGTCATTCTTGTCCACAATTCTTTTAAGCAAAAATAATTTCAAATAGGCCTACATTTTCCCTATACAGTCTACATAACAAAGTAATCCAAGTAAATCCATCCAAAAATCAACACAACTCAAATTACCCTACTAATTTATGAAAGGTTTACATCTCAAATTTATTAACTTTATTGAATAAGACTCAACATTTAGATTTATAGAAAATAAAATAATAAAAACAGAAAAAAGGCAAAAAAACTCGAGTCCTCCTTATCAATGTGTCACCTAAAAAGGGCTGAAAGAAAAGGAGGTTAAAAGTGACATTGGATGCTAGTAAATGTAATCAAGTTTTGTGGGGTTTTCTTTTGTCTAAATCTCAATTTATATTATTTTTCACCTTTTTTTCTTGATTTATTAATTAAAATAAAATATAAAAAAAATAAGAAAAAGAAGGGAAAAGGCTAAGTAGATTCCGAAATTGTCCTTGAGTTGTAAGTAGAGTAACGTTTGTCATAGAATCCTTAGAAATAAACAAAATGATAAATATGTTAATAAAACAAAAAAAGTGTTATAATAAGGTTCTGTTTGTATTTTGGTTAGTATCCTCTTTTTGTCGTCATGTTTTGCGGGGGATAAATAAAGCTTCTTTTTTGTTTTACATTTTATTTTTATATTAATTTTTTTTTTCTCTTTTTATTAATTTAAGTTTTGTGCACCCACGAATGAAGATTGATTTTGCAATTGGGTGCAGTATCAACCACATGATGTAATAATGCTATATTGGGCTCCAGCAACAGCTCTATAATCCAGATTATTATTGGATAATTATTTTTTGATTGTTTAATTAATACAAGTATGTCTTAATACATTTTTTTAATGAAAGAAAATTACTAAAGTAAAGTTAAATATTGGATATTTGGTAGTTGGGTATCCTTTATAATAAGAGCTGAGCAAAACTATCCGAAAAATCGAAAACTATCTTCGTAATCGTTTCGAAAATTAGGGTACCCGATTCGATAATTATAACGGTTCGGGTATTCGTTTCGATATTTTGTTATCGGGTATGGTTATTGGGTATCAATTTAAAATTACCGGTTACCTGATCCGATCCGATAAGCAATTTTTTGTTTTTTTTTTTCCCTACTTAAATCTATTTTTCCAAAATCTAAACTCTTACTTTACTTCATAATCACTTTATAATATCAATTATTAATAATATTATTAATAATTTGGTCAAGATCATGTAGTATTGTTGTTAATTAGTGTTAAATGATATCATAATAACTACATTATTAAGTTTAATTATCATTATTGGATATCTTATTGGGTATCCGATAACCGATTCGAAAATCCTGGTACCCGAACTTATCAGTTCAATTTATGGATACCACTTTTAGTGATATTGGTTATCGATTATCGGTTATCAAAACCGTTAGTACTAACTGCTCACCCCTACTTTAAATTATGGATGTCTACATCTTTAATTGGGTTACCTTTCAAATGGTACTTATATCATTGATATATTGTACATGACAATGAAACACTAAGATTTAGTTTGATAATAGATCAATGAAAATGAAGTCCCTTGATTAGCTAATAATGGACATTTAATTTTGATACTCCGTAATGAATTCTGTTTGATTAGCTAACTACCGCATCCTCTATTATTTGATTCGAGTCTAATAATACGCATTCTCTATTATTATCGACTAGGTTGTGTTAATTCATCATACTTTGACAAAGATTTGACTGTAATTAAAGAGAAGCATGGACTCATATTAGGCTTTATTATTATTATTTTATTTTATTTTTGACATGAGCTCAATTAACTTATACTTTTATACTCTAATATTATTGCACCAAGTTGAATTTTACAATACTACGGCATCTAATAAGCGCGATGCGCACGTCATAACTAGCCATATTCGGGAAATTCTTTCGGTTTGGTGTTATGTTATAACTTTAGTTGTTAGTAGCGTTAATGAGGGAAAATATGTAAACAAATATTTTTAAGGGTTTAATAAATGTCCACACGTTATTATTAAGAGTTCAAAAAAAAAAATATTAATGAAGGTAAATATGTAAA